CAGACCAGGGAGACGGGGAGCAAAGCCGCGGAGCACGCCGGCAGTGGGACAGCTGCGGCGCATCTGGGCTGTCCGCTGCCCGTGTGCTCCCCGGCTTTGCTCCCCGTCTCCCTGGTCTGGGGAGACGTGGAGCAAAGCTGCGGAGCAGGGGGGCAGCGGCTGTCCTGCTGCCGGCATCCTCAGAGGCTTTGCTTCCCGTCTCCCTGGTCTGCTGGTCTCCAGCAAACCCCGTCTGTAACTGCGGATCCGACATAAGTCAGATCCGCGTTACTCGGGGACTGCCTGTAGTCCTGTGTAGCTAGTTGTTATGCCCAAGCAAGGTGTTGATGCACAAAGGCATCCTGCAGATAGATGCTCTGGAAACTTGGCCTAAGGTACTTGGTTAATTTTCTCTCAGATTCCATAGTAGTGCAGCTGGGTTTCTTCCCCCATTATAGGACACTGTCCCTTGCCATTCTGCAGTCACTGGCACATAGGTGGGCTGCATAGAGAGCAGGGCAAAAGCTGCTAGTATCCAGTAGCTGAGCCCCCGTTTTCCTCTTTACCCTCTGCAGTGAGATGTCGGCAAGAGTGATACTGTGGAGAAATGGGGCATGATTAGAATAATTTTGCCTGCAGCACCATCCAAAAGTATCTCTTTCTGTTGATGCTGTCTGTTGTTCAAATCAGTATGTGTCCCTCCCCCACAGACAGGAAAGCCCATTGTGCAACATCAAGTATGCTATATGTATTTCCCAGAGTCACGGTCTTCCATAGTGGAGTGTGATTTATTGCCCTGCACACTTGCAGTAGTGCGGCCCCCAATGGTAGGTTTCCCCACTCCAAACTGATGTGCAAATGACCAGTAGCAATGAGGAATCACCAGCTTCCAGACAAATTGCCACACGCTGGGCTGTTGACAAGGTAGCGCGCCATATGGTGTCCTTGTTCTGCAGTCTTGGGGGCTAGCTCAGTACAGAGCTCTGGAGGAAGATTGCTTTATGCATCCTAAAGTGCTGTAGCCTTTGCTGTTCCACCCACATGGCTACATGATCCCACCAATCAGTGCTGGTTTCCTTAGCCCAAAAGTGACAGTCTACCCGGAGTGCAATGACAGGTACCTGCTGTCCCTCTCATGCAGAATGTTGCTTGACTGCGAGTCTTCTTCCTCTCACCTGGTCTACCCTAGGGCTACATCTACACAGGCAGCTTTTTGCACAAGAACTCTTTTGCGGAAGATTTCTTGTGCAAAAACTCTTCCACAAGAGAATGTCTACACTGGCATGTGCTTTTGAACAAGAGCATCCATGCCAGTGTAGATGTTCTCTCCGCAAGAAAGCTCTGATGGCCATTTTAACCATAGGAGTTTCTTGTGCAAGAAATTCATGATGCCTGTCTACACTGGCCTCCTGGAAAAGCTCTTGTGCAAGAGGGCTTATTTCTCGTGGAGAGAGGAATAACTCTTCTGGAAGAAGCCCTGTTTTACAACGCTGTACTGTAAATTTACTTCTGGAAGAATGCTTGTGCAGTGTAGACAACCGGCAACTTTTTGCGGAAGAACGGCTGTTCTTGCGCAAGAAGCTGCCAGTGTAGACATAGCCTAGGAGTTTACACCATATTTAGCCACATAAAGTAGATTTTCTAAACAATGTGTTCACACTATCAAGCCAGGTCCTGTGACCTTAAGGGCCACTGAAGTCTATATTGGGTACACCAGTTTTCACCAGAAGTATTTCCAACCTTGCCTTGTTGAATGTATGGTAGTTTAGAACTTGTGCCTCTACTGCTTTCCAGGTGAACAGATAAAGTCCCAGGAAAGTGAATTTCTTTTCCTGTGAGGACATCGTTGTGAACACAACAGAGCAGGCAGCACACCTGAGCACCGCGCGTGGTTATGACTTCAAGTCCCATGAGTTCCAGTTCCCGGGGATGCAAAAGAGCACTAGCATGGACAGGGGCAGATGATCATTTTGCGGGGCCCCGGGCAGTCCAATTTCGCGGGGGCCCCCTTTGCCACGATGCATGCACAGGGCTTCTTGAAGCGCGGGGCCCGGGGCAGCCGCCCTGCTCGCCCTACGCTATATCCGCCCCTGAGCATGGAGTGTGAAGGAGATCTTGGACCTCATCAAGATCTGGGGAGAGGAATCCATTCTCTTGGAGCTCTGATCCAGCAAAAGAAATGCTGACATTTACATGATGACTGCAAACTGAATAGTGGCCAAAGGATACCAGCAGTGCAGAGTTAAAATACAGGAGCTGAGGCAGTCCTACCACAAGGTAAAGGAAGCTAACACACAGTCCGGAGCATCTCTGCAAATATGCTGTTTCCATGTGCAGCTGGATGCGATTCTGGAAGGGAAGGGAGACCTGATCAGCTTCCCAAGCCTGACAACGGAGTCTGGCTGTGACACTCCTGGCAGCAGTGTGGAGGACAGCGTGGTTGTGGAGCGGGAGGATGAGGAGAATGGCCATCTAGTGATCAGCAAGAGCCAAGAATTTTTTGTAATATTGGAGCCAGTCCCCTCCTCCCAGGACATCTCCCAAATGAGCACTGATCCCAGGGAGGACACTTCTGGTCTGTTCATATTTTTTTTCTTACTACAAGCAGGTTAAGGCAATTGGGAGCGATGTACAGTGTGCTTTGTGTCTACACAGCGCAGCTGGGGGGGGACGAGGGGAGCAAGTGGGGCGGAACAGCTCTCTAGCGTGTCTGGAGGTGGAGCAGGAATACTCCCTGCATAGCTCCATGAAGCTCTCACATAGGAACTCTGATAAGATTTGGTGCAGTTACACGATTATTAAATTAAACAACATCCCTATTCTCCCCCATCACTCCCACCCAAGGATCGTGCCTTGGCAGGCCCCTTATCATGCATGCCTGGCTCTGAACTGCATGAGTCCAGATGCTCCCCTGGGAACTCTATGTACTGCTGTGTAGAGTGGCCATTTTGAAGCAAAACTTTGGCCTTGCACAGAACATGTTTCCATTGTCTTTACAGAGACGTTTGTTGTATGTCAAAAGATTTAACACAATGTATCTCTTGTAATGTGTGCCCTTATAATTTTTTGTTACAGCGGGAACAGCAACCAGCTTGGGACATAATCCCACAGCTCCACCACCTGTCCATCAGGCGCAGATCTGCAGGCAAAAATGGACAAGGAAAGATTTATTCAAGAAGCAAATAGAGTGGAGGAACACAATCCTGGAGAAGATGTGTGCTGAGCACCAGGACAGGGTCGCAGAACTTTAGGAGAGGCAACAGCAGAATATCTTTGCCTCTCATGGCTGTGATGGAACGCCTGATGGCATTCTTGAGAAGAACCCCTTCCTCCCCAACCCACATTCACCCCATGAAAAATAACTTTCCCTCCTCACCCAGATCCATAACCTCCACCCCCCATGGAACCCCAGGACACAGGATGGGGAGGTGAGAGACAGAGGGGATGGACTCAAGGTCAGCTTCACACTCAACCTCCAGGGTCTCAGGAGGCAAAAAGCTGTCCTTGCATTTCTGAGCCATCTCCGCACTCCCCTCCGGATTCCCACCATGGACTTCTTTTCTTTCCCTGCTGCCTTCCCTAAATAAAAATGCATGATCTCTGAAGAACAATCTTTTTATTGCTTGTACAGCAGGGGTGGAGTGGGGGAATAAAAACAAACACACTGAATGCGTCCCCTTGAGAGCAATGTGCACGAGTCTCAAAACTGGCCATTCATAAAACTGTCTTTCAAAGGCTTTCTGATTTGTGCTGCTCCACATTGTGTTCTCTTTATTGCTCTGGTGTCTGGCTGCTCAAAATCTCTGCCTAGGTGCTCTGCCTCAGCCCCCCACCCTGCCAGAAAACCCCTCACTCTTGGAAAGATTATGGCGCACATAACAGGCTACCACCACAAAAGGAAATGTTGCATTCAGTGAGGTCCAGACTAGTGAGGAAACTCCTAAACCTTCCCTTTAAATGCCTAGAGGCAAATTCAACCATCGTTCTCTACTAGCTCAGCCTGTAGTTGAACTGCTCCTTACTGTAGTCCAGGCTGCACGTGAATAGCTTCATGAGTCACCAGAGCAGGGGGTAGGCTGGCTTGCCAAAGATCACTATTGGCATTTTCATTGCTCTGATTCTGATTTTTTACCTCTGTCTTCACAGACAAGGCCAGCTCCCAGATTACTGCACTAGGCAACGCAATATGGGAAGGAGGTGGGCAGCCCTTGATAGAGAAAGAACAGGTTAAGAACTATTTAGAATAGTTGGATGTACACAAATCCATAGAGCTGGATTTAATGCATCCAAGGATGCTGAGGGAATTGGCTGATGTGATTGCAATGCTATTATCTCTAAAAACTCATGGCAATCAGGGGAGATCCCCGGATGATTGGAAAAAGGCAAATGAGCCCATCTTTAAAAATGATGGACAAAAGGGCGATCGAGGGAACGACAGACCATTCAGCCTCACTTCAGTCCCCAGAAAAATCATGGAGGGGATCCTCAAAGAACCCATTTTGAAGCTCTTGGAAGAGAGAAAAGTGATCAGGAACAGTCAACACGAATTCACCAAAGGGCAAGTCATGCCTGACCAACCTGATTGCCTTCTATGACAAGGTAACTGGTTCAGTGGCCAAGAGCAAAGCAGTGGATGTGATATATCTTGACTTTAGTAAATATTTTTATATGGTTTCCCACTATATTTTTGCCACCAAGTTAAACTATGGATCAGATAAACGGACTGTAAGGTACATAGAAAGCTGGCTAGATAGTTGGACTCAATGGGGAGTGTCAAGGTAGTGTCTGGCATGATAAATGCAGAAGCGGGGGCCCCCAAAACCTTATCTTTCCAGCTTTGGTAAAAACTCCCCCACCCCAAAAAAATTTTAACAGCCTAGATTTTGGGGATAAAATCTCTGCTGCCACCACCCAAGGCCGTCCAGGGTTTTATAAAGCAATGAGCAAGCGATCAAGGAGCTTGCAAACAGGTGAGTGCTAACAGGGAGTTTAGAGAGGGAGTTGGGAAGGGGGTGAGGTTCTCTTGCCTTTCTTTTTAAATCCTTTCTCCAGGACAGCAGGGATGGATGGTGATAGGTCTGCTGCTGTTACCTGCACAGCGTGTGCCATGTTTGTTGTCTTCCTGTAAGAAAGAACGGATTTCATCTGCATGAAGTGCAAGCTGCTCACCATTTTGGAAGAAAAGATTAGAGAGGACTGGAGGCCCAAGTGTTGACCCTACGCTCGATTAGAGAGGATGAAGACTTCCTGGATAGAAGGCAGCATTTAATCCTGCGAGCATGGAAGGCAGAAGAGCCGGAGAGGGCAGTACAGGACCAAGAAGAGAACTGGCAGCATGTAACTTCTAGAAGGGGAAAAAGGCCAGCACAGGAATCTCTCAATGCTATAGAGGTAAGTAATCGCTTAAGGCTCTCTCCACAGGCTCTGCAGTGGTGAATGCTTTGGAAGGGACCTCACAAGGAAGAAACTGCAAGGGAACACCATCTACTGGAAGGCATGGGATGCGTAGTCCTAGGGATAGGTGTTCCACGACCACCACTCCCAAAAGAAGATGACGGGTGGTGGTGGTCGCGGACTCCCTCCTAAGAGGGACTGAACCATCCATCTGCCGTCCGGACCTGGAATCTTGAGAGGTGTGCTGCTTACCAGAGCTTGAATTCAGGATGTGACTGAGAGGCTTACCAAATTGATCAAACCTTCGGATTGCTACCCCTTCCTGCTTCTCCACGTGGGAACTAACGATATGGCCAAGAATGACCTTGAGCAGGATACTGCAGATTATGTAGCACTGGGAAGAAGAATCCAAGAATTCGGACCGCAAGTGATGTTCTTGTCCATCCTCCCTGTTGAAGGGAAAGGACTGGGCAGGAATCGTCAAATTCAGGAACTAAATGCGTGGTTGCGCAGGTGGTGTCGCAGAGAGGGCTTTGATTTCTTCAAACCATGGGAGAAAATCCTGTTGAGAGTCTATGGATTAAGTTTAGCGGTGCAAACAACAGCAGCGATGTTGTGGTTGGTGTCTACTACAGGCCACCAAATCAGGTGGATGAAGTAGATGAGGCTTTCTTTGGACAACTGAGAGAAACTTCCAGATTTCAGGCCCTGGTTCTCATGGAGGACTTTAATCACCCTGACATCTTTTGGGAAATGAATACGGCAGTACACAGGCAATCCAGGAAGTTTTTGGAGAACGTTGGGGATAACTACTTGGTACAAGTTCTGAAAGATCCGACCAGGGGCCGGGCACAGCTTGAACTTCCGTTCACAAACAGGGAGGAACAAATAGGGGAAGTTGAGGTGGGTGACAACTTGGGAAGCAGTGATCATGAGATGGTAGATTTCAGGATCCTGACCAGAGGAAGAAAAGAGAGTAGTAAATTACACATCTTGGACTTCAGAAAAGCAGATTTTGACTCCCTCAGACACCTGATGGGCAGAATCCCCTGGGATACTAACATGAAGAGGAAAGGAGTCCAGGACAGCTGGCAGTATTTTAAAGAAGCCTTATTGAAGGCACAGAAAGAACCCATCCCGATGCGTAGCAAGAGATGCAAACATGGTAGGAGACCGTGCTTACGGGGAAGGCTTACAGGGGAAAACCTTGGTGAACTTAAGCACAAAAAGGGAGCTTACAAAAAGTGGAAACTTGGACAAATGACCAGGGAGGGGTTTAAATGTATAGCTCCAGAATGCTGGGGGGTTATCAGGCAGGAGAAAGCACAATTGGAATTGCAAGTGGCAAAGGATGTGAAGGATAACAAGAAAGGTTTCTACAGGCATGTTAACAAGAAGAAGGTGATCAGAGAGGGTGTGGGGCCCCTACTGGATGAAGGAGGTAACCTAGTGACAGATGATGTGGGGAAAGCTGAAGTACTCGATGCTTTCTTTGCCTCTGTATTCACGGAAAAGGTGGGCTCCCAGACTAATGCGCTAAGTGACACAAGATGGGATGAAGATGGACAGCCCTTGGTGGGTAAAGAACAGGTTAGGAACTATTTAGAAAATCTAAATATACACAAATCAATGGGTCCAGACTAAAGGCATCCGAGGGTACTGAGGGAGTTGGCAAATGTAATTGAGGAGCCTTTGGCCATTATCTTTGAAAAGTTGTGGAGGTCAGGGGAAATTCCGGATGATTGGAAAAAGGCAAATGTAGAGCCCATCTTCAAAAAAGGGAAGAAGGACGATCCAGGGAACTAGACCAGCAGTGGCTGGAGGGCTGCTCTAGCCGTGCAGGCTGGAGCGGGCCCCCCTGTTTGCCCACTTTTAATTGGTTAACAAGTTAAACATTATGCTTAACTGATCAGCCAATTAAAGGGGATATTACCTTCCCACTACCAGAATCACTACTATCTTCCTCTGGATTACAGTGCTTTAAATGTCAATATCTTTATTTTTATCAGGAGAATATAATGTTGTTACGAACCAATTGCATTGTAACTGGACTATATAGTTGTCCTAAAATTTGCACCAAAAGGATATTAAAGATGGTCCTGTATTCAAGACAATTGACTGGGATTCTGGAGATCTGTATTTTATTTCTGTCTGCCCTAGGCTTTATAGGACTAATAATTTAGCTGTGCCTCTAAGCTTTGTAAAGAGAGGCTGATAATACTTGACTATGTTACAGGCTAGCTGAAATAGTATAATAATATTTGCTATATACTAGGATGATGATCACCACAAGGTTTAAAACATTACGGCTGCATTTTTGCGCATGATTTTGCGCAAATACTTTTAACAGAAAAGTTTTCCTGTTAAAAGTGTTTGCGCAAGAGAGCGTCTATATTGGCATGTGCCTTTGCGCAAAAGATTTTTTTTGCTCTCTTGCACAAGAAAGCTCCGATGGCCATTTTAGCTATCGGGCTTTCTTGTGCAAGTAATTAACGTGGCTGTCTACACTGGACCTCTTGCACAAGAATACTTGCGCAAGAGGGCTTATCCCTGAGCAGGCGCGTCGGAGTATTTGCACAAGAACCACTGATTTTGTACATTACAAAGTCAGTATTCTTGCGCAAATACTCGCCGCCGGTGTAGACAGGCGGCAAGATTTTGCGCAAAAGAGATGCCGAGTGCTTTGGTCTTATTTAGTCTGCAGAAGAGAAGAGTAAGGGGGGATTGATAGCAGCCTTCTACTTCCTGAAGTAGATTCCAAAGAGGATGGAGAGAGGCTATTCTCAGTAGTGATGGATGGCAGAACAAGGAGCAAAGGTCTCAAGTTGTGGTGGGAGAGGTCCAGGTTGGATATTAGGAAAAACTGTTTCACCAGGAGGGTTGTGAAGCACTGGAATGGGTTACCTAGGGAAGTAGTGGAGACTCCATCCCTAGAGGTGTTTAAGTCTCGGCTTGACAAAGCCCTGGCCGGGTTGATTTAGTTGGGAGTGGTCCTGCCTAGAGCAGGGGGCTGGAGATGATGACCTTCTGAGGTCTCTTCCATCTCTATGTTTCTATGATTCTATGATAATGATAAGACCATCAGGGGAGAGATCATTTGGGAAATCTCACCCCTAAAGTACAAACTAGGAAACCAAAATTAACCAATACCAGGTTAATAAAAAGAGAAAAGAAAGAACTTTTATCACCACAATATTCCTGTTGCAATCACAATGACTAGATGGAATACTAACAAACTCATGGAAGAGAAACCCACCATTGGCCAGGAGCTTAGTTACAAAGGAGAGCAAACCCATTTTTAAATGCACAGACATCAGATCCTATTTCCCAAGCAATAAAATGATAAAACCTAATGGATTTATCTAAACTTTACCCTACTTACAGAAGAGTCTTTTCTTGGAGGGAGACATTCTGTCTGACTCCATCAGTAGCTGGAGAGAAATGTGCCCAGGACAAAGAAGGTATAAACCAAACATTCCTTTGTCCTAATTTGAAATTTCTACCTACATTCCTATTGGCCAACTCTACCTAGGTTAGGTATGTTAACCCCTTAGTCCCCAGGCTGCTATATAACCCTCATGATCATGACAGGTAGTGATCCCTGGCTTGATCTCTGCTTGGTGTTCGGTGTCAAACAGAGTGCCCCAAGGGTCAGTTCTAGGGCCAGTTTTCTTCAACATCTTTATTAATGACCTAGTTGAGGGGATGGATTGCACCCTCAGTAAGTTTGCAGATGACACCAAGCTGTGGGAGGAGGCAAGGG